ATTGCTTTCCTCGCTCGCTCTGCTTCGTAACGCCATTTCCCAATAGGGTCATAGCGGAGGCTTAAAGACCATGTCTTTCTTCAATCATTTCTCAAAGTATGCATGTCACGGCTCAAGCGATTCACAGAGCCACAGTCACAATAGAGGGCTGGTCGTATGCCTCGTTGGCCTTTTGAATGTTTGGTACTGCATTCTTCACATCAATTTGCCCTTCACGTCGGTGCTTCCAGCGCTCATCGTGAGTTTTGTATAAGAATAGGACTCTGTAGTTGTGATTGATCCTCTCCTTCTTCTCCTGTCAAGTCAAGTCTTGCCTTCTCTATTCCACAGCAATCGAACCGCCTACGATATCGGCATCCCCAGCGCGGATAACGTACATTCGCCATCAGCTACCTTTCGTCGCACATATCACATCCACCGTACTAGGACAAGAATCCATTTACACCTCCCTTGTAAAGTGTATCCAGACTCCTATCACGACACTAAACATCGCCACTGCCAAGTCCGGCGCGATACCATGCTTCCCTTCGACACCCCCGAGCCGACCACTTATGCAGCTCTTCTAGACATTCTCCGCGATGAAGCCCTCCCCTTCGATACCGCACCAGATGATCTCGACCGCATCGACTACGCGGTTTCACGCATCGCCCACCTCCGAGCCAACTACGCCACCTTTCTCAAATGCCACATATGCGGTAATCAAGCTCCCCAGGTAATGCATATGCGACACATGATCAACGAGATTGAATCACTAGGTGTGAGGGGCTGGGTCAAGTCGCTTGAGGAGCGTCGTATGTATGGGAGTTATGAAGAGATGGAGCAGGCGTTGGATGTGAGCAGTCAGGAGGTGGAGGTGTTGAAAAAGGAGAAGAGGGAGTTGCTTGATGATGTGGGGCAGCTTGAGTGTGCTTTTGAGAGACTGCCTCTCGAAGAACGAGCTGATGCAGCTAGACTGCGACGACAGGTGGATTTGCTTCTGCAAGAAGAGGGGATGCTGAATTATCAGCAGGAGTATGTTCAGAAGCTTGAAGCGCTTGTTGAGCGGCTTGAGAGACTGGCCAACCCTAAAGAGATCGGGGCGGAGGGACTAGAGCAGTACAGGACCAGTGGGCGCGGCAATATCAAGAGAGATATGACGCTGAGCGACAACGAGAGCGAGACGTACGGACGACAAATAAGCAATGAGCATGCGGAGAGGAAACCTGAGAGACCGAGACGGAGGCCTAGGCCGTTTTCAGAGTCTTCTGTGCTCGTGGAAGTGGGTAGCTCTGGCCCACGCTCCCCCACCGCTAGCGCTGTCGGTACAAATTTGAGCAGCGACTTGGAGTATCCGCCACCCTTACGGCGCTCGGCCGAAGACGAGAAGGAAGACGACGACCAGAACGCGAAGCGACTTGAAGAGGAGAATACGTCATGGAGCCAGGAGGCGGAAGAGCGACAACATATTCAGCCGACGTCAGAAGAACAACTTCCCTCTTCGCCTTCCAGTGTCGATTTTGTTCCATCTTACATTTACATTCCGCTCCCAGCCAACTTCACGCTCCCGCAACACAACGCAAGCCTACCTTCATTGACTTTCCAAACCCCGCCTTCAGTCTTCCACTTCCCTCAGGGAGCAAAGAAAGACCAGCTCCTCTCTGTTCTGCGCCAGCGAAGTGCATCCGGCCTGCCCATGCCACATTTCGAGCCTCTTGGGAGTATCAATGTGATGCAGGTACGCACGCACCACATGGAGTGGGAGCTCAAGAATGCAATTCGCAAGATCATGACGCGGGAGCAGTGGGATATCAAAGTCGGCAATCAGTGGTATACCGAAGGCCAGGGTGATACGTATATCGTAAGCAAGACCGATGTATACTTTCACGGTGTGAGTCCGACTACTTCGGGTTGGTCCGGTAACAATCAGGGAGTTGACCGGCCGAGTGATAATGAGAATCCCCGACTTAGGGGTGGCGCTTCTTCGTACAGCCTCGAAGACAGAGAGCGGCGTTCATTTGCGGCACTAAGTGGCGGCACATGGCAGTTCAGGATCCCAGACGACTACCGCGAAGTCTTGGACGACATCGACGAGGCGAAGGAGCGCGGCTTCCAGAAGGCTTACATTGAATATGCTCGCATTATTCAGCTGCAGAACGCCTCCCAGGACCGCATGATCGAGCACCTACAGGACATCATTAAAGATATGGAAGATACCTTCGATTGGCAAGACAACGAACTCGATACCTTGCATCACCGGGCCGATCATTGGAAGCAAGAGGTGATGACGGCAAGGGAGGATGCTGCGAAGGCGTGGAAGAAGGTGGACGCGGCACGGGAAGAGACTGAGGAACTGAAAGCTTTGATGAATGAAATTAACGAGCAGGTCGGCGGTTTTTATGAACAGCTCGAACAGGAGTTGGAGGGTATGTCAGTGTATGCTGAACCAGAAGAGTGGGATGGTCCAACGACTCCTCACATTCGCGGTGGCGGAGACTCTGCCGACCATGCCCCGTCGTCTCCCAGTTTGAAACGGACGCCGAAATGTGGAGAGCCAAGCAACCAGGATATCGAAGCAACGGCATTCTACTTCTTCCCCAGCGTATCCATCATGGTCCTCCTAAGTAATCCACTCCGCTACTTCCAATGGCCTCGTCGCACCACGCTAGCCAAAGCCTTTGAGATCCTCCAACATCGACATTCCACCGGCACAGAAACCAACGCTCACCTAATCCATATTCGTGAGATCATGGAAATCAGGGAAGAGATGGGGATTCCGCTCTTGGATACGAGTAATGGACGCCAAGTACTCGTTGCTCTCCCGAAAATCGAGGAGGAGTTGATGAACAAGAAGGCTGAGGAAGACTCGGAGTGGGAGAAATCATTTGGAGAATATGACTACGAACGCATGCTCCGGGATCAAATGCGTGGTGTGGAGATTCCGGCGAGCGGTGACTGGAGTCACTTGTCTCCTTCAAGCAGCAGTGAGAGCTTCCAGGATGCAGGATACCTACTCAATTTGATCAACGACCAAGCCGTGACTCCCAGCGGGAGCTGCAACACCTGCGGCACAAACAAACGAACCTCCAGATCTACCGTCAACACCGGCATGCAGAACCCATATACGGAACCCACGGTCAATTTCCGCGGCGGCGGTAACAATGATTCAAGGCTACCTCCTCTTACCATGCCATCAAGTATCCTCTTCCCCCCTATCATCAAAAAGAGGCCTGCCTTCCTACGCAAGAAAACCAAACCCATCGTCCCCGAGCGCTCCTCACAACCCCACCTAGCCCGCATGCCTGAAGACAAAATGTGGAACGTAGTCCGCTACCCGCATGAAGAAAACAGCGAAGAGCTATACGAAGAGTGCGAACTCGACAGATCGGCAAACTACGATTTCGAGCTCGGTATTGGCGGACAGAGTCCGTCGAAGCACCCCAAGCATGACGACAATGACGAGAAGATGGGTGATGTCGATGACGCTGAGTGTGAAATGTGGCGCCACCACAAAGGTGAAGGCTGCGAGAGCTGGCTTAATCGCTCGATGTTAGACCCCCATCGAACAACGTGCACCTTTTGTCATCTACCGTGGGCCGAGGATCCGTTCAAGGAGTGGGAATTTGCCGAGGACCGACGGCCGGGTGAGGGAAATGCAGGCACGCCGGTGGACACGTCAAGACGTAAGGCGCCGGTGAAAATCGCGCATATCGTGCCTTCTCGTTGTCCGACGGATCCGGACACAACGCTTCGAAGTGGAGATGATACGGACGAGACCGGGTTCCCGAGTAGAGGCAACGCTCCGCCGCCGAACTCACCCCACGCACCCTCCATCCAGTGTCCCAGTCTCCGTGCCAAAAGAACGAATCCCTCCTCGGAGTCTAGGGCTAACAAGGATGCATGCCGTAACAAGCCCCAGTCTATGTACCGTCTCTCCAACGTCCCTCAACACCACCTCCCCCACACAACACAAACCTCCCCATCCCACACATCCCTATCCGCCGAACATTCCGCCCTCGTCGTCGAAATCGCCTTGCTACGCGCCCAACTCCGTGACGCTGACGCTAAAATCCAGTTCCTACAGTTTGTGGAGCAAGAGGAGAAGAACTGCTCACAACAAAGTACCTCCATGTTCCAAGTCCGCCGGCCGCATCCTCGACACGGTTCGCGCGTCCAAGGCTCAGGAAGAGGAATAGGCGAAGAACAACACGAGAGGCGAACTTGGAGTGGAGACAAAGATGAGGCAGGGCAGCCTTGGGTCCCGGAGACGGTTGCGGAGAGTTCGTGTGGGAGACGGATAATGGTTGAGAGGAAGGAGGTGGGAGAGGAGTATGATGGGATGATCTTGGGTGCGTATTAGGATTGTTTGATGGGTGGCGGTTGTTGTCTAACCCAACCCCTTACTGTTTTCTTTGTAGTGCACTGTTAGCAAGCGCTTGTAAGATTGATGACCTGTGCTTGATAGAATACCCCAAATCTTCGATCGACTATGTGTAGCAACACCGTCCCAATACCTGCTCTATTTCTACCGCCCAGGCGTGATCTGACGAAGTAGACAAGTGCTCTGGATAGCGTATCCTGATGTGCCTCGAGGGGTTCATTACATCAGTCGTCCTGTTAGACGCGTTTACCAGCACTATCATCAACGGGACCTGACCTGGCTGACTTACAGCTCTGATAACAACCTACCGTCTCCTCTGTGTTCCATTGCACATACACTGCCAGGACGCGCTCAACGGAACTGATGATCGTGCTGTGAATATCTCGTCCTTCCTGATTACCTTCGAAAGGCAGTCAACGCGCCTGTCCAGATAGACTCATTAATCCTCAGTACACGCTGGCACAGACGTTCCTTCCAACAGAATCCGACCATGCACAGACCAGAAAGAACACCCTCTCCAGCGCCTTCCACTAAGCCGCAAAAAGCCTCTCCCCACCAACAACCATTTCTTCCCGTTCCCCGTCCACCACTAGACACCCCCGAAAGATAAAATGTAGCAAAAAGCGCAAAAAGAAACCCAAAATGACCATGCCAGGGGTCGAACCTGGAATCTCTTGATCGCCGTCGGAGGGTTAGAGCCCTGGGATCGTAGTCAAGCGCCTTGCCATTGGGCCACATGGCCGGATGTTTTCAATCCATATTGTTGATTGAATTATGGAGAAATTTGTAGCGTCTTGATATATATACTACAATAAAATTATGGAGGAGGAGAGAAGAGGCGTCGTCGAAGAGGAGCACGCAAGGGAGGGGCAGAATTTTCCTTTGTTGGGGGTGAGGAGTGGGGTAGGGTGGGGCGGGGCAGGGTTGGAACGTCACGAGTCTGCGGCGGGGAGGCGCCGTCTGACGGATTGTATGAGCTTCGTAGATGGCTGTGCTAGGGATTGTGTATCTTGAGCATCTTTAAGGGGTATGCTAAGAAAAGAAAAGGTTCGTACGACATGCTCGTCCGCTGCAAATGTGAATGCTGGAATGAAAACACGCATATTCCGGTTTTGAAATATTGGCTTCTATTGCGGAACGACCATAACAATAGGAATGCATGGCGCGCACTTGCTCTACTAGATACCATTTAGAAGAATAAGTATTGATCAATGCCTTGCTCAAGTAGGAGATCGGCATGCACGCTGCTCCATGAAAACACAGAAAACGTTTGAACAAATCGTACACTCAACAAGCGATCTGATCATCTATTAGGCTACATTGATTACGGAGCCAAACGCTCATTCGTCAAACCCAGTAATGCAAAAACAATAAACGCCAACCTGACCCACAGAGGGCAACAGGCCCAAACGCCCCTACCCTACCCAATATCAAAACCGTTTACTCCACTCCAGTAAAAATGACACAAACGCCGTCGCCCATGCACTGCCAAAAGATACGGGATAAAACAAAGATGTACTGGCCACGCGCTACGTAGCCGCCACCATCGGCAACGTCCGTCTGCTATCGCCTCGACCGGGGGATTGCCCCGCTGTGCGCATGAGGTGTGGGCTTGGTGAGAAATTTGACCGGGGTGTGGCGGGAGAAGGGGAGACTTCGTCTTCGGGGGTAGCATTGATGGAGGGAGCACCAGGGGAGCCTGTTTCTGGTTCTTCCGTGTCGGATTGTGGGTTGTCTACGGGCGTTTCGGGCTGTGGGGGTATGGGGGAATCTGCTTCTGACTCTTTGGTGTCGGGTTGCGGGATGTTTGTGGGCGATTCGGGCGGTGGTGTGAGGTAAGCCGAAATATCAACCTCAGACACCTTCGGGTCAGAAGGAGTGGTGGGTCGATGTTCAGGAGTAGATGACTGTGAAGCGGTGGCCGATGGAGTCGGAGCTTCTGGTGACGGGACGAGGTCGGGAAGGGATTCGTCGTCATCTTCTGGCAGAGCCACACTGGCGGCGGTGTCATCGATACCCTCTTCGAACAAGGAGCTAAAGTCTGAAGGTGGAAGCGGGATATCGTCCTCCACCGCAACCATTGCCTGTGCCGCCTTTTGGCCCTCTAACAAAGCCAAAGTAGACTCATCAGCAAGCTCGTAGAAAAGCATGAAGACATTGCCTTGATGCGCCTGTGCCTCAGGTACAGCGTAAACGGAATCATCGCTGAAGCGCCACCACTGTTCGGTCCCAGCTTCCTCTTCATCGCTCGACGAGCACTCGCGTTTCCTGGGACGCGATCGGTAGCAAACATAGTGTCCACTTCCATGAGTACCGAAATGTGTAACAGCCGCTCGAAGCTGGTACTGAAAGGGGGACCTTGACGAAGACTCCACGTGGATGTCGCCAATCATGGACTTTGTAGGATCCCGAGGCCACTCTTCCTCGTCGTTGTCAGGAAGGTGTGACGCGCTTGGTTGGCTGCCCAGACACCAGTGGCCCAGGTCAAGGACTCGCGGGTATGCTACAGCGGCTGTATTCTTGTACTGGGTACCCGTCATCTCGTCGAAAATGCTCCGGTTGACGTGGAGCACAAGCGCCTTCGGTGCTCGAGCGATAACGGCTTGCCGGGATTTAGTACTCTGCACCCAGTTCTTCTTCAGGATGTTGAATTTCTTCACCAACGTCTTGTCATCAAAGTCGTCGTCCTCAAGCGCTTCCTCGACAGCTTGCAACCTTGCGCCGAAGGGTGCACCGCCCGCTACCAGAGGAGCGAGAGTGGCCTTCACCTTCAGAAGCGTGCATTTCGCGCACTCAACGCCTTCAATGTATTCGAGTTGGGTGTATTCGTCGAGACAATCGCGGATGTCGTAGGTATATCCCCTTCCCAGAGAGACTGTGACGCAATTAAAGGGTATGAGCTGGAGGCCTTCCGAGTAGCCGCAGTTGATACAGCCGACGCGCTGGGCGAGTAGTCCGTCGAGCGGATTTGGGGTAATCTTGCGCTGTTCGGGCGACGGTTTGGCGTCCTCGGCGTCGCCTTCAGTCACAACCTTATCCTCCGTACTTGACTTATTCACTCTTGAATCCACCAAGCTCTTAGCAGCCTCCAGCCAGGAGGCACTGGACCGTCGTCTGGAGTTGGTCGCGCCCTGCACCTCCTTGTCCAACGCGTCCAGAATCTTCGAGTAGTACTCCTGCGCATCTTGCTGCGTGAACGTGCTCATGTTCTTCAGCTTTCCGCTCACCCAAAAGTGCTGACCGTGGTTCTCCGGATCATTCAACTTTCCAATCATGTCGAACAGGGCTCCATTCGTTGTTTCGGTATCTAGGGAGCGAAACTCGGCGGTCGTCTCGGAAAGGTAGCTGCGGAGGGTGGGAAGCGCGGCAAGGCCCTGGATGACGCTGTTTTGGTAGCATGAATTGTTATAGTTGCCCAGGCCCGGTGGCACGTCGCTGGAGCCCTTTCCCAATGCGCCCGTCACTCCACGCACGCCCTTTTGCAGTAGACTGGAGCTGTTCAGTCCAAAAAGGCTGCCGAACATGCCCCCTCGCTGCATCTCCGAGTCCTCTGAGTCCTCCCCGCTGTCTGTCGATCCCACACCCTGCAGCCGAAGCTGTCCGACTTTCTCCAAGGTCATGTGTACCCAAAGCCTGACAGGAAACCCCAGTGACTCAAGCGCCCTGAACAAGATGTAGAGCCCGGCAGCGGCAGTCAAAAGTGTAGGTCCAACCCCCGTCGTGCTCGTGGTTTGGTTGAATCTCCGGTCGTTGTATGCGGCATACAGTCGATCTTCTTCGTCGAAATCGCCCATAGCTTTGAGGTAGCGTTGTGTGTTTCAGTCTCGGCCTCTCCGTTCAAGAATGCGGTCTGTGAAACGCTCGAGCGAGGGTGAAGGCGACGCGGGAGGTAGTGATTGTTTGGTCGGTCGGTCGGTCGGTTGCGGCGGCGGCGTGTCTTCAACCTTCAGGCCAGCGCACAAACGGCAAACACGGGCGCGCTGGTCTGGTATGCGACATGGAGAGGCCGGACGGTTGGGCAGAGCGAGGGGCGGTGGTGACGGCGCAAAAGTGAAGGCGTTCTGTAAGAGTCGTGTGCTTAGCTCCGTCCGTTGGGAAGGACCCAGCGCCCGGGAGAGGTCAAAGTGGGTCCGGGAGCTTGGCGGGAACTTTCGCTGGGGAAAATATTGGCGGGCGAACAATGTCGACACAACACGACTCGCTGTTTCTGCTGGTAGAGAAATTTCGAAAGCTCTCGATACCTCGTAAACCACGTCGACCTCCGGTATTCCATCGTATCCAAAGTACTCACAACATCCACCATCACACGGCCGAAATGGCCAAAACCGCAAAAGTCAAGAAGCGCCGTATGTCTCTCAATTCCAAAAACACGCTCGAGACTCACCAATCCGCAGAATCAACACTCCACTCCCGCGCCGCCCGCCGCGCCGTCTCACCCAGCGACCCCTCTATTTCCAAATCCCTGGACAAATCCATGACCCGCTCCTCTGCCTCACCCCCACCACACCCCGCCTCCACAAAGCCCCACGTCCTCGCAGCCCAAAATGCCGGCATCACGAAGAAATCAAAGTCAAAGCCCGTCAAGCGCGCACAAAGGCTACGGCAACTAAAGGGCATGGAGAGGGCTGCAGACAATATGGACAAGCTCGAGCTCAAGAGAATGAAGAGCGTGGGCAAGGAAAAGAAGGTCAAGGAGAGGGCGAAAGGGTGGGAGGAGGTCAATGGTGTGTGGACTAAGAAGAAGAAGACTAAGAACACATTGGAGGAGGATGAGCAAGAGAAGAGGGGCGGAAGGGAGTGGGTAAGCGATGAGGAGATGGACGATACTGCGGCGGGCACAGAGGATGCAGTCCCAGACGCTATAGCGGGTGAAGTGAAGGAGTTAGAAGTTGTGGTGCCCGCGAGCGTGCCGTTGCCTGTTGCCACCGAAGTGGACGAGTATCTGTGAGCTGCGGAGGATGCGGAGACGCCAGCGTTTAGACGAGGAGCCTGATGAATTACGATACGGATAGACAAAATGGCACAGAAAGCTGCAAGGCACCAGCATCCGACGACGAAAAAGTTGCTTCGAGATGAGCTGGTTATGCTATGTGTACGTAGATGATACCCATCACCAAAATGCTTATATATCCTGTATATACCCTGCGCCTATGCAATGCTGTGACCAAGGTCTAGGAAATCTACACCCGATATAGTATGCGACCGTACAGCAACCGAAACAATAACATATCACACGGTCATTCCTCCTGCGTAAACGGTGTATTCTCTCCCGTCTTTTCCGAGCCCTCAGTCTCCTCTTGATCAGCTCCTGCATCCGATCCCATAGCAGCCCAGTCCGTCCCCGCCGTCTCCATGACCAATGTGCGGTTCAAGCCCATATTGAACCACCGCTCCTTTCTCTTCGTCTGTCTGTTACCTCCCTCGAGGGCCGTACGTGCCGCCCTTGTTGTCCTTTGTCGCTTATTCCTGCTGCCGCCTTCAGACAGCAAACTGCCTAGCCGGATACGCTGAGCTTCAAGAACAAGTTCATGGGCAACAATACTCCGAACATAAGGTGCCAAATCTTCGACTACGATTCTGAAAGTTCGATCAAAGGAGGACGCTGTAAGGTTGTAGGACGTGTTCATTGCGGGAAGAGTATCGGCCGGATAGGCAAGCAGATCTAAAGCTTCGGAGAAGTTAGGGCGTGCCATAGTCCTCTTGGTTTTCGCATCTCGCTTGTGTTCAAGTATAGAGCGAGTA